TGCTGTAGATGTATTGTTATCACAAGAAACATTATAGATGTATCACTATCACGAGAAATGCTGTAGATGTATTGTTATCACAAGAAACATTATAGATGTATCACTATCACGAGAAATGCTGTAGATGTATCGTTATCACGAGAAATGCTGTAGATGTATCACTATCACGAGAAATGCTGTAGATGTATCACTATCACGAGAAATGCTGTAGATGTATCGTTATCACGAGAAATATTATAGATGTATCGCTATCATAAAAAAAGATTATCACTATCACAAGAAATATTAAATGTGTCACTATCACGAGAAACATTGTAAATGTATCGCTATCACGAGAAAAGATTATCACTATCACAAGAAATATTAGATATATCACTATCACGAGAAGCATTGTAAATGTATCGTTATCACGAAAATTATCCTCTGTACATCGCTATTATGAAAATTATTGTATATCTTTATCATGAGAAATGTTAAATTTATCGTTATCATGAGAAACCTTATATGTATATCTTTATTACTGTAACAACTTTATCATGAGAGAAATTAAATATGTATCGTTATCATTAGTGATACTATATTATTATTATAAGAATTATTAGATGTGTATCATTATTATGATATAATTAAGTTTATGTTAAACTAGTCAAACTTGTAGTAAACCAGTATGTAAATAACAATACCACTAATAGTAATCAAAAATGATTAACTAATAAGTTTAAATTTAAGTTTAAAAAATAATTTGAAATTTAAGTTTAAATTAAACTAATTAAATTAAGGAAAAAAAACAATTAGCTAAATTATTCCATTCAGTGATCAGATTATGTATAAAATACAATCGATATTAAGGAATGTATTTAAAAGAAATAGTAAACAATGACCATCATCATCATCATCATCATCGTCATCATAAATAGACTAGGATAAACTGTCAAACACATGTCAACAACTGGACAATATATGTGATTTTGATTAATTGAAATGACTTTTAGATAAGATTATTAACTACTAGGATGAAGATTGTCTATGATAACATTAATGATTTACAAAAAAAAAAAAAAATGAATCCTTTGATTGAACATAGATGATCGATGCAAAATAAGAGGTAATATATACCGAAATGTAATTTTTAGATATAAAATTGCAAAAGATGATCAAAAAAAAAAAAGAATGATCAATGATCAATCATGAAGTATTCATAAATCAAAAACTATCCGCCTTAATTACAATTATTAATTTAATTATCATGGTTATAATTCTGATATAGTTATGTGTATGATTAAAGATCAAAATTATGATCACATTCATAATTGTAATATTGTTTTTTTTTTTTTGCTACCAAAAATAAAATTTTTTCTTTTTTTAATTTGTAATTAATATATATTGGAATGATTATAATTATTAATTTAATTTATCGAAATTTTTTTTAAATTTATAATTAATATATGTTAGAATTGATTACGATTACTAATTTAATTTATCGTAATTATAATTTTAACTATGGTTTTATGCATATGATTGGAAAAAAAGAAAATCAAAATTATAATTAATATTTTTCCGTAATGTTTTTTTTTTCCAAAATCAAAATTATAATTAATATTTTTCAGTAATGTTTTTTTTCTAAAATTTTTGCTATCAGAAAAAAAAAATTCCTTTTTTGCTTTTTTTTTTATTGTCAAATTTTTTGATTAATAACTTCCGATTGGAAAATGTTGACAAGCAATGAGAATTGAAAGGTTAAAGTAATTTCTCTTTCCAAAAAATTTTCCATTCCGTATTCCCACGTTCGATAATGTGAGCATTGTAAAAATTTTCATTTTTTTTTTTTTTAAACAGTGTAAAAAAAAAAAAGAAAAAGAAGAAAG